GAACATACATACATACATACTGTACATACATACATACATACTGTACATACATACATACATACTGTACATACATGCATACATACATACTGTACATACATACTTACATACATACTGTACATACATACTAAGGCGGTTCAGTGGTTTTCGAGAGTATAACTGAGATATTGCCACGCTAGTACGATAATCGCAACTGCAGAATACTGTTCCACTACAATTTTCTCCAGCAACCACTCTTTACTCCAGAGCCTCAAACTTGGGTAATTAAACCATGGTCTAGAGGATCATACGATGAACAACATAAAATTACCATATTGATCGAAAACTACCAAAATATCAAGTGATCTACGACAAATGACAGTGAATATGACAAATGATAGTGAGCTACGACCATTGACAGTGATCTACGAAGGCTCACATAGCTTACAGCTGTTAAGGCTCAATACGACCCATTGGAAAAGGCACCAGAGTGATAAAGCTGAACTGAGAGGATAACATAGCCTACGTGATGAATAGCCATGAAGTAAACATGAAACGAGAGATGAACTATCGAAATACGACTCAAGTCAGACATGGGGAAAATCCATGAACTGATTACGAACATGAAACGAGTAAACGAGTACAATGAACTACGTATTGTGCTGAATAAGAAAGAAAGAGCACCATGAACTATGCCGAAGCACGAAAACGAAGTACAAGAAGGATGTACGAATAAAAGTGAAAGAGCAAAGATGAATTATCAATTGCCCCAGGTGGAATGAAGAAGCCCCTGGGAGAGGGTTCCCCTACGAGAAAAGAGCGTATAGCAAGGCCACGCCCCCTTGTGTTGGTTTTGTAGAAGCATGGCTGCGCGGTGATCAAGCGATAAGCGTTAAGATGGCATGTTGTGAATTCTTGCATCATCGATCACGAAGCGACGATAGACCCTTTAATCACGCTATGGGACGCTGTCGATGACCGTTGCAATGATGTCCTTTTCCCTTTCATAATTATTGACGTCATTGATGACATAGCACTCCTTTGCTCCTCTAATAGTTGTTTAAACATCGACAACATGGTGGTTGTATCCGTGGTTCCACCAGCCATCATTATCAAACAGGAGAAGATCAGAAACTCAATTTAGAAAATCGAATAAGTAAAAGCATCTTCTTCCTGATGAGTGTGGCTTATCCCACTAAGGTGCTGCTCTGGAGTGACTAAAATCGTCTGGGTAACTTATCTGCGAGTTCGGGTTCTCTTGTCGAAGTCGTATATACAAGGATAGTCGTTAGTTGGATATAGTCGTATGCCACTGTTGTGTCCTTCTATTGTCTCGGTAGCCTTGCAACGGAATAGATAACTGGGGTACTATTTACCCTTTACTGCCCACTTTGTCGAAAATGGGCTGGATTCCAATCGAATTTTTTCCAAGAAGATGAAAACGACTAGAAACTTGTCTACGGGGGTAATTTGACCCTCAGAACACGACTATCGCATCCATTCGTCATGAAAACTACTTAGAGGCAAGTTTTCAGCATGATTGGTAACCCAACTTCATTTGGCGCCGGATAGACCCATGAAATGAAAAAAATCAACAGTTCCATCGATCGCGACAATGTGCACGGGACAATGGGTGACCCTGATTTGCCGAAAAAAACTGACTTTTGGATTGATGGGGCAGAGCATCATTTGAGAAACAGTGTAGCGAATATTGATGTTTCTCTCATACTATCGAGTTGGGAAGTGAGATCGCCATCAGCGCGATAAGTAGAAGCCACGCTCTCATGAACCAAACCTCTGCTTTCTGCGTCAATTGGCTCGTACATGCTGAGGGGGTTTTGTGATGCACCAGAAGATGGAATACCACCCGAGCTGGAGATAGAAGTTCTGGTTCTTCCAGACATTCAATCTTCAAAAGTTCCCTTCCAGGTTTTTGTCATTCTCGCTGTCCTTCTGCCCCACTCCGACTGCCCAATCGTGTATTGACTGAGTAGTTTTCGAAAACCATCATTAATGTGACTGTGCGAGCAGTAATTCAGATAGCGACCAGCTCTCACGGTACATAATGTGAGCCAGCTTGAGACTCGAACGGAACACACCCAATGATTTCCAAATAAGCGGCTTGTGGAGCTAAGCACTACAATCGCTACTCAACAACTCGATGCTAACCGCCTAAGATGCTTTGAGCAGTCTTATTCGGTCCGAATGATGCCATCAAGTATAATTCTCGTTGCATATCGTCCTCGATATCGTCCTTACATGAGTGCCGCACAAATCATCAGCAGGTGTGCACAGATTCGAAGGCATGAGATCTGCCCCGATTCACAGTAGTTTATTCTGGAGCTGTAGCCTCTCAAAGGGCATCAGTGAAGGTTCTTCCTTCCGAAGGATTCTACAACTACGAATGAAGCTTTACGATGAATTAGACAAATCAAACGTTGAGGATGTATGCGGATAATGGCAGAAATGATACCAGCCTCCGTTGTTTCCTTGTGCTCCTTTCAGATCGTCTGTTCAGAAGCAACATAGAAAATGACTACTGATGACCTTTCAGCGGTCATTTTCTTGCACATTCTTTTCCTCCTTTCACTTTATTTTTATTTCATCAGCGATGATTTTATAAGCGTGCCAAGACTCCGGTGTGCCTACCACCGTTTTATTAACAAGCGATCAAAGTATGAAATTGAAGAAACCTCATTCACGATGGTGTTCGTTGCAAAATATAATCTTAGGACGTTGCCTTGTTGTTTTCGCATTCTTTTTTGTAGCAGCTACAATCCAAGAAACCAGTAAAGTGAACGAGTTCACTTCGTTCTGGTCGTAGGGATTTCACAGAGTTATTCAAAGCCTATGGGTGTCCGAGTGATGTCGGATCTGGTTTTACTGAACGATTCGACAAATGAAATGGAGCGTTAATTCAGAGCTTCAGAAACGTTCCTTTTTTCGAGGGATTTCCCAAGGCATCCCGATAATGGGAATAAAACCCAGCATTAGGATAAAATCACAACTTTCTGCATAAAAGTTGTATTGAATGTATATTTTCATTGTAGTTATAAATCAGGTAGCTAACGGTGGGTCGACGTTTCGATTCACGAATCGGACCGCCCGTATTGGTTCCATGCCACCTAGCCGTGCAGTCTCCTACTGTCCTATCCTTTCATCTTTTTCGAATTTTTTTCTAGCTTTTTGAAATTTCGTAGCCCTACAGTTCGGACTTTTTACAGCTTCGATTCCATATTGGTGTAGCTAGTTCTTTCTTTCAATAGCTTCTTTCGCTTCTTTCTCGCGCATTGTTTCTCCATCTTGTTATCCAGCTCTGAATCCATGATGTTCTTTCTCATATTTTAGTTCCATCGAAAGTACTTTATTTAGAATTTAGGACCCTTCATTTACACACTCCATTTTCAGAATGCGGAAGAAGAAAGTAAACTTTAAACGCAAGTTACTTTTGCGTAGAATGTCGTGAATGGTAGATTGGGGGGTAGAGACCTCTTTTCCAAGTCCTGCTTCCTCGGATAGGATTGCTCTGACGGGAAGCTAGAACATCGTCCGTATTTAAATAAAATGGACGTTCGTTTCGACAAACTTTGTCGAAGCAAAAATCTCCCGAGATTCGATCAAGCCATTTATGGTAGGTGACAAGAGAGGGTCACTGCAGTCGCCATACCCCATTAAGATCCTGTTAGGGTACGCTCCCTCCTCGTCGGCTTGCGCCGACGGTACCGGTAACGTACCCGGTTTGATCCCCATCTCATTGCTCCGCAACGACATCCTCAGAACGGTAATCGATGGCAACAATGATGACGAAACACAGATACGAAGTAGCTTAGCGATAACACGCCTTGAAATTCAGAAGTCACACCTTTCAAATGAGGCAGCTTTATTACAAAAAGAACCGAGATAACGGTATGAGGCAGATTTTCAACAAAACCTGGACAATGGATAATAATGAGCTTCACGAGATCGAGGTAAGTGGATAAGTGAACTCGATAGCTTCTGCCAAGCTAGCTACCTTAAGAAGATCGGCAAGTCGCCAGATATCCAAGTACTATCGGTCGGTTGCCTTCGCAACTCTTTCTTGACTTCAGAGTGGGAAAAAACCAGCCGTCTTTCACGGCAGGCCAAGAACAGACTAACTGGCAGCTTACTCGCAGAAGCTCCTTCCCCTCCGCCCGCGCTTTCCCACGGTAGAGAAGCTAAATTGGGCGCTGAGCGGAGAGAGAGCACTACACGAGGACGTCAGACAATATGTCTGCGCCCTCTTTGCGGATCGATACTGGCCTGGCACCACAAAAAAAGGAGATACCAAAACATTTATTACGAAACAAGGCATAATACATGGCAAAATAACGTATAACATTTTACACTCAACAATGCAACTATTTTACACTCAACAATCCAGAGTCGAAGTGATCAGTTCCGCAATGGAGAAGCAGAAGGCTCCGGTAGGCATATCGATGGCACATTCTTCGGTCTACGATGGCTTACTTCAAACGACCACGTCAAATACTTATCAGCTATAGTATTGATCTATCAACATGCCATTTTCCCTGCTGTCGGATCTATAGCCCCTCTTCAGCGCATTCGCATGCAACATGCTTTCAAAGGTGAGAGGCCAAACATTCTCGAAACTTTTCGGACACCCTAATATATGACATTATGCGGTTTAAAATTGAAAAGAGTTGGCTCAGCAACACCGGCCTCTTCGTGCTTCCAGCAGTTACAATCATGGACCTTCTTGAGAATCATCTAGAAAAGAGCGCGAGATCATGTAGTGGAAGCTGCACCGATCCGAAAAGGAGGAACTCAAATGGACGATACTGGAAGCTGGTTTACCAGGTTGCAAAGGACCTATCCGGCAGACCTGAAGCAACACTGTAAAACTGATCATACATTGTGTGATGGAGACACTAGGAGACTCGAGGTGGATTTCGGCGAGAGAAGGAAGCGTGGTTCTGCACGATGAATTCTAGCGAGTTGTGAGACGGAAG